ATACTATTTGAAAGAAAGAAAAAACAAAAAACTAGTACCAGGAAAAAAATCCACAACAAAAGCCACTTCATATTTAGGGCCGTGTTGACCTCTAACATCACTGCTTCAAGTATCAATTCTTTTCCATCCCTTTACTAAAACTTGAAGTACAATATCTTCTGCTTTTTAAAATTTGAATCTACAATGTAAATAAAAGAACTCAGACTAGGACAATGCCAGGTGACTTGACAGGTTATAATAAAAAACAAACACACAAAACACCCAAACAACAACAACAACAACATACAATGATTGGAGCCCATAGAGTAATTAATTGGCTTGTTTCCTAACCTAATTTTCAAATATGCATTTATTTCTTAGATAACAATGGACTCATTTGGAAGTTAAATAGATCTTGAAAGCTGACTTTTTGTTTTTTTGGTTTTGTTTTAAATTTTTAAATTCTTTAAAATTCTTACAGTTGATTCCGAAAGTTTTGAAGCACTCATTTTCATTTATTTCATGGGACAGGAAATAATAATTAAATTAATTAGAGATAATAGTTATTTTGTTTTTTTTAAATGCGGCTCTCTCATTCCACAAAAATGAGAGCAGCAAAGAGACATTATTAGAGTATCTGAAAAGAAGCAATTAATGAAACAGGTTGTTCCCAATCTCTAAGTTTCTTGGTTGTCAATTAAGCAGCCTTGGAAGCTTGATTTTGCTCTTTAAGTTCAGTGAAGTACTCTATAAAAAAAAGGTAGAAAATTCATACTTTTGAAGAATTTTGATCATACTAATAAGGGAAATTTAAAGAATGATTGAAATTTTCAGTGAATAGATCCAGTGAGCATTTACTTCATTAACTCACCAAAATTAATATTTATATAGAAGGGTTTGGGGTGAGGGACAAATAAATGTTTCTAGAAATAACATGTAGATTTTGATCTGTTCACAGATTGAGCCCTTGAAGGAACATCAGTGGTCAGCTAGTTCAAATCACCCATTTTACAGATAAGTAAATCAAGGCTCCGAGAGGTTAGATGACTTCCCAAAGATGACACAAGCTGGGTTTGAAGACTAGGTTCTCTGACTCCAAATATGAGCCTCTTTCCATCCAACTGCAGTTAAAAAGGACAATCAGGTTTCTCTTGAGTATGGCAGTGTAGAAAGCTGACTCATTCAACAGAAGAAACCTCTGAAGCGTGGAGATCATCCACAACATGTTAAAATACGTGGAGATCTTGAACTCTGTAGCAAATATTTTAATGTTTATAGAGGAATCCAAACTTGCCAGGTTTACTACATTCCTCAGGAAAGACTTTCTGTTCCATAGGGGGTGGCAGATGACTAAAAGATGGACATCTTGACAAGATGCCCTCCTCCCCTCCAAAAATGACAAAATCATCTTTTTCTTCAATAGGTGAAATAGAAGAAGTAATTCAGGGCAAGAAGAAAGAAAAAAAAAAAGAACCTCTTGTTTAAGGAAGTTCTCCATAGCCCTCCAGTTCCACTAACCTTGGCCAAGCTTCTATTTTTTTTTTTTTGTTTTTTTGTTTTTGTTTTTCAAGTTTCTTTCAATAGACACATTGACTTTTTCTTATCTCCCACTGTTTGTTCATTAATTCAAGGAATAGTTAGTTTGCTGCTTTTGACACTGCTGACTACTCATCCCATCCCTCCTGAACTCTTCACCCTTGACTTGCCCATGGGATTTACAGCATCCCTCACTGTTCTCCTTCCTGCTTCTCTCTCTTCCTAGTTACTTCTCTGTTCCTCCCTGGTTCTTCTTCTTCCTCCTGAATCCTAAATGTTGTCATTCCTTTTCATTTTTGGCCCTCTTTCTCTATCCTCTCTCCCTGGGTGATCTAAGGCACAACCATTGCTTCAGCTATCATCTCGATGTGTGTAACTCCCAAATCTGTGGTTCATATGATCATAGAACTGGAAGGGCCCTTGGTGGTCAATGATTTCAACCCCTTTAGCTTATAACTGAGCAAAATGAAGCTCAAAGTGTTAAAGGAAATTATCCAGGGTCACAAAACTAGTGTAGGAGGCATGATTCAAATTCAGATCTTCCTGATAGCTCAAGCACCACATTTTCAATAATTTGTGGGTTATCTTTACCTTGTTGTTTTGCCAATACTTTATACTCTAAAAGTTGAAAAACTGAACTCATCATCTCAGCCCCAAATGTGCTTTCCTTTTGATTTCCTGATTTCTCTTCAGGATGCAATCATCCTTGCTATTATCCAGTCTTAAATCTTCAGACTAAAGGTCACCTCTGATTTTCAATCCTCACATCTAAATCAGCTCCCAATCACCTTAGATTCTACCTCAACAAAAACAAGTATCTTGATTCTGTTTCTTCTAGATAGCTTTTCCTCTTGTCAATCTGCATGGACTCCATAATATGCTCAATTCTGTGATTATACTTGAGGTGTATGTAACTCCATTTGCTAGTCTTTCCCTATGAGACCTAACTATGTTTATATAGTTGTTGACACTGACAGCTGTCCTTCTAAAAGTACGGTTACAATGACGTAACTATCTCACCATACATTTTCAGTGGTGACTTGCCATTGCCTACTGCCAATAAATAAATTTAATATTCCTTCACCAAGGTTTCAAGGTCCTTTTCTCAATTTGGCTCCATTTTTAACTTCGAGTGTTAAACCACATGCTGGTGATTTTCATATCTATCAAGTCCTAACCTCTCTCCTGACCACTAGCCTCTTATCTCCAACAGCTCATCAAATGTCTTTAACTAGAGGGGCTGTAGACATCTTAAACTCACTATGTCAAAAACTGAACTCATTCTCTTTCCCCCTCAAACCTTCCCCTCTTCTTAAATTCTCTTTTACTATCAAGGGCACCATCATCCTCCCAGTTGTTCAGACTCATAACTTAGATGTCATCCTTGACTCCTTTCTCCTTCTCTCCCTTCATATCCAATCAATCACAAGAGCCTGTCTTTTCTAGGTTTGTTAATATCCCTCATACATGCTCCTGTATATTTATTCTTCATTTTCATTTCTTCCTTGCACAGATATGCTCAAAGCTCTCAATGTAGGTACAAATATAATTTTCTTTTTATATGTACTCACTTCATAAATGGTTCTTTCATTCACATATTTGACTAATCTCCATGCAACTGACATTTGATTTCAAAATGACACTTATTCTTCCAATCTTTGGCTCATGCTACAATTGGAACAAAAATAACTTCTCACACTTGCAATATGCAAGATAGAATACTTTGATGATTAATTCCAGTGATAAAAACAAACTCCTGGCTTCTTAAACAACTTACTGAACCAGCCTACCTTATTATTTCTTAATTCCTAATCCTTTCTAAAATAATTAATTCATTTTTTATATCTTAGGCTTTTACATATTTTTAGTCATTAGAAAATATATACAGCTTTCTTCTAATAAATCAAGGCAGGCACCCAAATGCTAGTTTAACTTTTTAATAAATATATTAGAAACTATATCTCCATTAGATTTCTATATTTATGCAACATGTTTCAAATACACTCAAACATCTACAACAAATTTAATCTTAACACCCCATAATACATATATTATCCACCTTGTATATTAGCAAATAAGACTTTGATTCAACTTTTTAATATTTATTTCTGAAGTATCCATACGCTAATCAGCTGAAATAGTACACTAAGAGTAACTGGAACCCAACTAGAGAAAAACCTAAATTAATATAAATTCTTGACTTTCTACTTTCAAGAGAAAGAAGCAGTTGTTAATACGAGAGAGACAATTAATTCCCTGACTGACAGATGGGTTTAGCCTAAAAAAATAAATAAATAAACTCCAGGGCATGTACTATTGTCACTTACTCAAATATTCTACACCATCTATATCTAGTCCTAGACAATAAGTGTTCAGAATGATAACACCAAGGCCTTACAAAATCCTCAGTCACCAAAGATAATGTGAGATTATATGCAACTGACAGGAAAGTAGACTCAGACATTTTAGAAATGTTGCTTAAAAGGTTGAAACAAAAGTAGTTTTCAGGTCAACTCTGATTTAATTAGGTAACTCAATTAGCCAGAGAAAGTTAATTCCTTAAGCTTTGGATTCACTGAGATTTGCCCATGTTTATTCTAACCCATAGTATACTGTTTACAGATGAGAATTCTACTTATTTTAAAAGTATGATAAATATCTAGTTAAGTATCAATGAGGAAAATATTTATTTGCATTGGAGAAATATTTTATTCTAAGTATCAGTTTAAGTAACTGCCATTAAAAGTTTAATTGAAGATGTTTTAAAATATAGTTTATCCTACCAAGTACTGCTATTCCCTACAGCAAGTGTTTTGAAAATAAAATAATTTCAGTCTAAGAATATAAAGCTATAATATCAGTGAGAATCAATGTTTTGTTTTTTAATGTGTGTGCTTTTTAAATCTTACCTTTTTCCCCCCTTTATTGAGGGGTGGTTTTTTTAAACATTTAATATAAATACAATCTCGACTAGATACATGATTTCAGCCACATAACTAATTCTTAATAATACCGCATGGTAAGAAATTCCCCACATCGCCTTAATAAGTATAATCAGTTTTGCAGGACTAAAGCAATATTTGGAGAAGAAACTAGCTTTTAAAGAAACAGATTGACTTAACCAAATCAGCTATTTGGCCTCTGGATTTCCCTGATGCTGAATAATTTGGGTTTCACCAGTGGCAATCAATTGTGGAAACACAGATTACTGCACCTTGAAGTAATTCATTAAAATGGTTCATTTGAAAGGAAAAATTAACTTACGTGATGGTGATGGTTAAATGCCCTTTTAAAAATTGCAATAAATAAACATAGGTTCAGAAGAAAAAAAAAATTTAAACCAACTGTCACACTTCCTTGATCAATATGGAAGAGGAACCGAACAGTTGGGGAAAAGCTGAGACCAACTCTGAAACGACATATTTCTTGCCAGCTTCACTGTTTCCAGGTACTTAAATCAGAAGCACATTCAGTGCTGCCCTTACCAGGTTAAGTCACGACGTTCCATTGTGATTTCAATGGAACATCAGAACTTCCAGCTTCTGTGATGCGCCAGGATTCTGTGGAAGACCCATAGCAAAGTGGTTACAAAGGTGAGCCATGAAGGCTTTTCACAAAAAGCTGATACTCACACTCCTTTAGCAAAATGATCCCCGAATTAAATGCATAACATCCAGACAGTCAAGAAGAGGGAAACCAACTGAAAGAAGTTTTTATGGTCCCTCTATCTAAATAACAATAATGAGAAGATTAAGGTCCTTCTGAAAAAAAAAATACACTATGAATTTTTTAGAACAGCTTGGATTTAAAATAGTATCCAGATTGAATGCTAAATTACTTTGAATGACTGGTCCCACTAAACTTGAAGAGCATATTTAAATATGTGTGTATATATATTTATATGTATATATAATATGTATATATATTTATATTTATACACACATGTATTGTGTATAATATTAAAATATAAAGTACACATTTATATTTTTAATTGCCTTGGAAACATGGAGAGAAACATAGTAACAAAATAAAAAGTTGGGGAGAGGAGTAAGAAGGGGAAAATAATAGAACATTAGTTTCAGTCTTAAGAGAACGAAAAAATTGTTTAAATGGTCAAAATCAACAATGGAAACAAAAGTAACCACAGTTTTATTTAATAACACATTAACTAGGCCAATGAAACACCTAAATACACATCAATCACATTCCTTACCACCTTTTAAAAAAAGAAATCCTTTCACATTTCCCATACAGCACCCATTTATTTACTCTGTAGGCTAATAAACTCATTGAATTCAAAACCAAAAGGGTAAAGAAATTATTTTCTACCATTAGCATATAGTGATAGAATATTTCTAATCAATTCAGAAACTATACCATACTCTAGAAATCCACTTACTGGATTTTGGCTATTCCAATACTGTTAAGTTACTTTATGGGCTTGTAGTAAAGTGTTTCCTTATTTGTTCCTATTATGTACAAGGAATGGAACTTACATATGAAATATCCAAATGGGAACTATTCACATCTGAGTAATTCTGTCTCAAATTAGATGATTCAACTGACACGCAATGTTATTAAAAGAAACAATAGCTAGAAAATGAATAAAGTATTATTTGGTAGTGTGTGGTTACACACAATATATTCATTCACTCATTTCTTTGAAGGCAAGCAGTAGAAATCTTCCAGGGGAACATACAAGAATTGTTTCAAATTAACCACTTATATTTTGACTGGATTTTTGTGAAGAATTTTTATACTTATATTTCAACATCTGAAGATATCATCTGGTTAAATTTTTTTATATTTTAAATTTAAATGAGAGGTAGATTTAACAGTATATCCTTAATAATTATTGTAAAAATAGTCTATTAGAAGCTAATATTAAAAATAAAATGTTTCAGGGAACACTTCCTATCTTAGGAGTATTTTAATATGCTTTAAATTTCTAAAGGCAATTACAGAAAATATTTTTAATGCAAAACCATTTTTGTGGTTCCTCCCATTGGTTCTAATTCTTCTTTACAACATGACTAATGTGAAAATATATTTAATATCAATGTATATATAGAGTCTATATGCCATCTTGGGGAGGGGTGAGAGAAGGGAGAAGGAGAAAATTTAAAACTCGAAATCTTATGGAAATGAATGTTGAAAACTAAAAATAAATTGATTTTTAAAATAAAGCAAAAGAGTTTTTTAAAAAAAATATACACTATAACTAAGCTGGAGCCAACATTACTCATAATTACTTCATAATTCTTATTTTTACTAGTGTTATGATATATTTACTGTTTATCTTAACAGCTAAATACATGTTCTTTAGATGATTAGTTATGCCAAACCACCTTATCTATGTCATATTTCTCTTTTTAGGCCTAAAAATATATGATACTATTACTAATCCCGACCAAAGAAAACTATGCTAATTTTTCCATTTCTAGATTATTCTTGGATGGCAATAATTTTGATCACTTCTCAGCTCAGAACTGTCTATAAACAATACCTTTTTTGAGATTATCTATTAACAAAAACTACAGATGTTATAAAGAAATAATTGAAAACTGAAGATTAAATTAGCTCCTCCAAATCAAATACATCCTACTTCATAATGTCCTCTTTTTTTTGGTTTTCTAATGATCAAGGAATTGCTTACAGATGCTACCCATTTATTAGTCAGTCAACAAGCATTTACTAAGCACCTTGTGTATGGCAAGCACAGTGCTAAGTGCTGGACCCAGTCTAAAGAAGCCCACAGTCTAAGGGGAAAGGCAACATGCAAACAAAAACAAGTAAGCTGTATATAGGATAAATTTTTTGGAAATCATCGACAGGAAGAAGGCACTAGCATCAAGGAAGATTAGGAAAGGATTCTTAAAGAAGGTAAGATTTTACCAAGGACTTGAAGAAAGCTAGGGAAGCCAGAAAATAGAGATGGTTAGGGGAAGAATTTCAGACATGGAAGGAAGTTTGTGAAAATGAATGGAGTCAAGAGATTGACCCATTCTAGGAACAACTACTGTCATTGGATTGCAAATTTCTTGGGGGATAAGGGTGAGATTAGAGGAACTAAAGTATAAAAAAGACTGTAAAGTTGGCAGGAGTCAAACTACAAAAGGATTTGAATGCCAAAGAGAGGATTTTATATCTGATCCTGGAGGTGGCAGGGAAACACTGAAGTTGATAGTGAAGATGATTGAATGGGGGGTGACTTGGTCTGACCTGTGCGTCAGGAGGATCAATGTGAGGGCCTTAGTGGTGGATAGACTGGAATGAGGATAGATTTGTGGCAAGCAGAACAACCAGAAGGCCATTGCAGCAATCCAGGCATGAGGTAATGTTGGATGCACCTGAGTAGGAGTAGTGTAAGAGGAGAAAAGAGAACATATAAGAAAGATAATAGGGCAGTTTGGTGTCACAGTTTATAGAGCTTCAGGCCTGCAGTCAGGAAGACTCATCTTCCTGAGTTCAAATCCAGCCTTAGACACTTACTAGCTGGGTGACCCTGAGCAAGTCACTCAACCCTATTTGCCTCAGTTTCCTCATCTGTAAAATGAGCTGTAAAAGGAAAAGGCAAACCATAATATTTGCCAAGAAAACCCCAAATGGGGTCACAAAGAGTCTGATGCAACTCATCAACAACAACAAATATGAAAGATAACCCAAAGGTAGAATGAATAAGACTCAGCTACTAACTGGATATGGAAGGGATAAGAGAGGGAGAAGTTGAGGACTACACCTAGGTTATAAGCCTGGGTGACTAGGAGGATGCTAGTACCCTCCAGAGTAATATGAAAGTTAGAAAATGGGCTTCCAGGAGCCAAGATGGCAGAATAAGAAGTAAGTCACTCTTATCCTCCCTTATTAACCTCAGAAAGCCCAGAAAATATTGCCCCGGGAAAAACCCGGAATAGCTGAACCAAAAGAAAGACAGGGTTCTGCAGTCCAGTTGCTCAGGTAGCTTGAGGGATTAAATGGAAAGGCCCATCTTGCCCTGGGGGAAGGGGAGCAGTACAGAATAGGAAGCATCCCAGCAAGCTAGTGGAAAGCCCCTCCTCAGCATACCAGGAGGAGATCCTGAAGCCCAGGTGGTGGAGCAGGCAAACACCAACATCTGGACCCCGAGTGCCTCATTGAGGGCGGGGAACTGGTGGAAACCAGCTCAGAAAATCACCAAGTGATTCAGCATTCTACAGCAAGCAGGTCTCCCAGTGCCTTAGCAAAACTCTTGAGAAGGCTCCAAGGGGCCCCAGGCAGATAAACATCCTGCAACATCCATCTGAAAGGAGCTGAAGAAAGCAAAAGGAAGGAAAGGCCAGGGTGAGCAGGCAACCTGCAGGGGCCACACTACCCAATCCTACCCCTAGAGTTCCAGTGTTGCTGATTCCAGCCCAACAACAGGTAAGCTACCAGAACCCTACAGCCTCCAACTGCCAGCACTGAAGGCCCCAGCACACAAAGCCAGTGACCAAGACCTAGGTTCCCAACACAAGAAACTTGGATCAGTGCCCTCTGCTCCCCAGCAGGAGAGTTCAATCTCTTTAAAGGCCAGGAAATAAACAAACACTATGAGCAAAAAGAAACGTCCTATAGATTCTTATTATGGGAACAGTGAAGATCAAGGCAGAAATTCTGAAGAGGACAACATTGTCAACAAACTCACATCTGGAACCTTAAAAGGGAATATAAACTAGTCTGAAGCCCAAAAAGCCTTCTTGGAAGAGCTCAAGAAGGATTTTAAAAGTCAAATGAGAGAGGTAGAAGAAAAAATGGGAAAAGAAATGAGAGGTATGCAAGAGAGGGTCAATAGCTTGGAAACTGAAGGACAAAAATTAATTGTAGAAAACAAGTCCTTAAAAAATACAATTGGTCAACTGGAAAAAAATACACTGAAGAAAACAAGTCCCTAAAAAAATACAATTGGCCAAATGGGGAAAGAGATACAAAATCTAATAGAAGAAAACAACTTGTTAAAAATTAGAAATGGAAAAATAGAAGCTAATGACTCTATGAGAGAGCAAGAATCAGTCAAACAGAAACAAAAGAATTTAAAAAAAAAGATGAAAATGTAAAATACCTCATTGGTAAAACAACTGACCTGGAAAATCAATCCCGAAGAGACAATTTAAAAATTATTGGTCTACCTGAAAATCACGATGAAGAGCCTGGACAGTATCTTTCAGGAAATCATAAAAGAAAACTGCCCTGAAGTCCTAGAATCAGAGGGTAAAATAGCCATTGAAAGAATCCACCAATCACCTCCTGAAAGAGATCCCAAATTGAAAACGCCAAGGAATATAGTAGCCAAATTCCAAAATTACGAGGTCAAAGAGAAAATACTGCAAGCTGCCAGAAAGAAACAATTTAAACATCATGGAACCACAGTCAGGATTATACAGGACCTTGTGACTTCTACATTAAAAGACTGCAGGGCGTGGAATATGATATTCCATAAGGCAAAGGAGCTTGGATTGCAACCAAGGATCAACTACCCAGCGAAAATGAGCATGATCATTCAGCGGAGGAGATGGATATTCAACGAAAGTTAGAAAACGAGGAG